CCATTGGCAACGGAGCATCCTGCAAACGTGTACAAAATCACACATGGAAGGTATGCAATTGAATCTTACTTTCGTCCTTCATTGTCCAAAATAATCAGGAATGCTGAATCTCATTTTATTTAGCTGATAAATCCAATCAAAATCAAAGATGTGCTGGTTCAACAGCTGCAAACGCAGATAAATGATTTGGAACGGTTCATAGGGTTCATTCAAGCGGAAAATTCAGATATTCATCAAACTGAAGTTTCTCGTTACTCTCGCGGTGCGCACAGTTTCTCGTCAGGAGGCAACTACGGTCCTTACCACGAATCGTTCTTCAGTCAAGTTGTGGCGCTGCTGCAAATCTACGTGCTGAGCCAGCTCGGCTGTCAGAGTCGCAGTTTCAAGCGCAATGTATTGAAGCGAACGATCAAGTGCAATCATTGGGGGTAAGTGTGAGAAATCATGTTAAGTCGATGTACCTGATAGTTTTTTATTTGAATAGGGACCTGAGAGCGGCTCTTGAATTGGAAATTGACAATCTCATAGAAGTGTGCACGAAACATAAAAATGAGCATTCTTTGCCTGAGGTAGCAGCAGAAGAATGTGTAAACATTAGAGAATCTTTGTCTTTCTCTGACCAGCATGAAACTTCACTTTTTTTTAGGATTTTACTGACCATCCGCCGGATGAAGTCTTGATCGCTGTTAGACTGAAGTTATGCCCTGCCCTGCGCAATCTGCTTCAACATGGACTTCTTCCGCCTGTGAGTTGTCTTCTTATGGCATGTTTTTAATATTCAATTTTGCACGGCTTTTCAAGATAAACGGTTATTATGCTCGTTATATATATCGCCTTAAATGTACACATTGTCGACCTCATAGGCATGACGCCTTTAAAGGTTTTGTTTTGACTTTCAGGATGCGTGTAAGAGGAACAGCATTTTGCCCGGTTGCTTTCCGTCTCGGCGTGAAGATTCTGCGCAGAATGAGCCTGCGCATCCGTGGTACTTGATCACCAAATATTACGAGATGAAAGCAAGTGATACGTTATGTTTCCTTTCCCTAATCTGATTGTTTATTTCAGCACGGTAGAGAATTCAATAGTACCCCAGAGAGGAAACTGACCGCTACTTTCAATTTAGAGCAGCTTGCCGGGAAATCTGTCAACTCAAAACAGGTAGTTTCGAGCGATTTTGTCCAAATCGGTATGTAATTCTTTTCGTCTTAGGCAATTCTATCAGTAATTGACAGAATACTGACAACACACACTCCTTTACGACGCAGTTGTGATGCGATGTTCAAAGCATTTGTTTCCGCCGCACTCAAGTATGTCATTCAGCCTTTTTGTGACAGGTGTAGAACATCGTTTTAGTCGCAAGAAGTTGCCCTCTTGGCTAGGGATGATCTTGCGTTCCCGTGACATCGTTAACGATTGCTATTTTCCTTGGAGCTACGCGGCTAAAACAGGTATCTATATTTGAAGGTTTTACACATACGTCATCATTCGACATTTAAAGTTATTCAACCAGTTAGTTAAGGTATTTAGTTTGAAGAATGCACCAGTATTTTAATCTCTCTGGCTGGAAGATGAAGAATCATACAAACCCTTGAATGTTGAATGATCAGACGAAAGCCTTTCATTTTTTTAAATTTTAGTATTTATTTTTTTAAATTTGATTAGACGCGACTCCGCCGTTGCCGGTCCCTAGTCCCGTTGAGAAAGGAGAAAGGTTGGAGACCGTGGCGAAGTCTCCGTAAAAGTTCGCCAACGGCCACTCGTGGTATTGACACCGAAAATTATACCGACTTGGTCGTCATCCGGTTACCAAAGGCCGCACAGGCTGTTAGGGGACTGAGGCAGACTGCGAAAAGTCGGCGATCAGAGCCTTTCATCGCCCTCTGCCATCGGGGGCGTAGCAGTACAGCAATGGCTGACGAACACCGACGGAACGACGACGAAGATACCAGTCAGTAACTGAGTCGCTACAGTTATGAATGGAGGAGGCGGACAGCGCGATGACATTATACCACTTCAGAAAAGGCTCCACCGAACAACACCGCCAGTGGCAGCTTTCAGCCGGAAATTGGAATATAACCTCATTCAGAGGGAAAGAACAAGAGTTAGTTGATGAGTCAATAAAGTACTGACTCGACATTGTCGCACTCTCGTCAACGAATCGCAAAGGCTCTT